AAGATGGATGAGTAGAAGTTTGGTTGCCAAACAGTAAATCTAAAAATGTCCTATGAGATTTGTTAGTATGTTWATGAAAGTAAAGTGACATTAATGCAGTTTTTCTCATTAAAATAATAAATCAAACACCTATCCAACAGTTGTAAATCAGGCTTTTGGATTATTTTTGACACTTTTATTGCACCTTTTAGTCACTGGTTAAAAAAAAAGAAAAAAATCACCACATGAAACATGTCAAACTGTCCAAACAAATGACAGCTTGTAACAGGACTACAGCAGGAGGAGGAGATTATTTCTGCCCAGTTCAGACACTCATCTGTGTCCAGATGTGTTCTCACCTCCGAGGTGAAGCCCTGACCACACCCGTCTGCACACGGTCTGCTTTTTCTCCTTTTTCCTTATTTTTTGCTTGATTTACATCCATTTGCCTGTCGTGTTTTCTAAACTTGATTTTGTTTTAAATGTTGTCAATTGCCCTTTAAGAGGCAATTGACAACAAAAAATTAGCCTTTTTTTTGTCACCAGTTTAAGACAACAAGCTCAGAACTCATCACAATATCAACAAGCTGCTGAGAAACTACTGGATGTTCTGCCACAACATCCTGGGAGCTGCACAGTAAGTAAAAGTCTTGCTCTCAATTAGTTATCATAATGTTTTTCTATAAGTTACTTCCAATTAACATAAGTTATGAAATTTTCACTTAATTTCATGAGTTATAGGCATTTCAACTCAAGGAAGTGAGTCAGTTCAGTGGAATGTAAATTTAAATGTCTGAACATAACTTAATAATCTGAGTTTTAAAACTGTAACCGGATCTTATAAAAACTGATCATCACTGGCAATATTAATGCGCGCTTACAAATAGTGCCGGAAATTTGCTCTTTTATCCAATAAGGGACTAAATATAAGATTTAGTTAGACTTTATAAAGTTCTCCATTCCAGTTACAGCTATTAAATGAAGAAGAGGAACACCACCTGACCACATTAAAGATGTTGAGAGCAAAGTCGCGGATGAATATATTTTATCCAACAAGACCTCGATCAGTCTCGGAAGCATAAAGTTTGGTGGGGGTAGTGTTGCCAGGTGTATGATAATTATCGTATTTGTACCATAATTTTGCCCTCTGTACGATGTATGTTCAATAATTCCAAAAATCCCCTATTGTACGATAATTTGACCGCTTCAGAGTATGACGTAATTGACCCGACATGCTGCTCGCTGACATGAGAGGTGGCGGGTTGCGGAACACAGCGGTACTGATTTAGCGACTTTCTCGCTATATTTACAGACTTTTCAGACACTCTAGAGACTGTTATTCAAAAAAAGAAACTTGTGGAAATCTAGCGACTCTTTTTCTGGTGTTATTGAGACTTTGAGAGACTCTGC